TTTCAGAATGAGCTTGCAATTTTTTAAATCATCTCTATTGTTCTTTGTGCTTTTGGTGCATAACTTTCAGTTTTTTTGCATCTTCTATGTTTGGTCACTTGAGTTTTCACATTATGTTTTTTTTTTTTTGCTCCAATATGATTATTTGCTATACTTTCTGCATGATATGGATACAGTAATTGTTGATTGTCAGAGAATTGATCAAACAAACGTTCCCAATCTTTTGCATGTTTTTACGTCAACTTTCTTATTTGTTTGATATATAGTATCAAGGTGAGCATGGGTGGATGCCGAAAAATTATCCAGGTCTAGTCGAGAAGCTTTTAACCAAAAGCCAAACTGTGGTATGTTGTTAATTATGAAACTTTAAGCTGTATAGAAGCAGTCCTTTAATTTTATGTTGCTCTCGCTCTTCATTTTTCTTTAAGTATACCTTTAATTTTCGGACATTGATACGAGGATATGAACTTCTAAGACCATTCAAATACAAGGAAAAACTTTGGAAAAAGTGAATATAATAATGTGATAAACTTTAGGGGGTCATCTTGTATTCTCGGCTGAGGAATTCTTGTGGTTACATTTCAGGCAGGCTTTTTTCTGCCACAGTATAGCTATTTATGGAAAGAACACCTGGATAAATTATTTTAATCTTTACTCTTCAGGAAAGCTTAAGGTACTATGTATATCCTTCCATCATAACGCTAGTTATATTTATTCCATTGATAACATTTGAATTAAATATTGGTGTGATTTCAGTTCCTAACATGCTAGAGTTCAATTGTAATAGGTTCAAATAGATCCAAAAAGATTTTTAGGCTTGCGTTCGGTAGCAGATGCTGTTGAGCATCTCCATTCGGGTAAAAGTACCGGCAAGGTGAGCACAGGATTTCTTTTTTTATCATAGTACTTGCTGCTAATTCATTCACTTGATCCTCAATTTAATTTATATTGCAGGTGGTGGTTTGCATCGATCCAACCTTTGAAAAGCAGATGGCTAAGTTATGATGTGGAGTTCCAACCTAACATCCAAGAAAGATTACTTGGTTTGAATAAAGGTTTAGCACAGGGAATATTAACTCCATGTTCTGTCATTAGACAAATTCTGAAATAATTTAAGTGCTAAACCTAAGATGACATTCTTATATTTTATCGCCTTAGATAGCAAGCACCATACAAAAAATCATCAGCTAAATGCCTGCAATCTTTTTCCACTAACTGAAAACAAAGAAACTAGCTTTGTTTCTTCATGGCCTGGCTTGTCTGCAGAAGATGCATTACTTTCCTGCAAAAACCAGTTACAACTCAGAGTTCGAACTTAAAATGTCGGAATATGAGACCACTGACACTCCAACTTAAAAAAAATGGTGGTAATCCATGGGTATTTAACGCTCTGAAGTACTTCCACTGGATTTGATCCAAAAAACAGAGTCATGAACATGCTATGTAAATTGAAAGTTTGGGAGTGAAGTGTTGTTACTTGCACGAATGCGCTTAGATCTTCTGTTTTGGACATCTGGCTCCTTGTCATCTTCTTTGTCTTCCTTTTCATTATCTCCACCTTCTCTGTCTTCAGAATTGTATGCCCTGATAATATACACCTATGGAACAAAAATAGAAAAAAGTGATTGGCACTATTAACAACTGTTGCCTTACCATCTTGAGTTGAAAGTGTCGAACATTAAAAACATAGCAAGAATTTACTTAAACGAGCTGATCAATGTTGAAGCATAAACTGAAGTTTGGTGGGGAGTGTTAGTCACCTTGAATTCTGTGGGAGCTACAAGCTGGTGAATTGAAAACCCTCTCCAACCACCGCTAAGACCTGTTTTATCTGCAAGGTATTTGGCTGCAAACTCCTCTCCTTCCTCGTCCACCAAAGTCATGATCACGTCATGATGGGGCAGGTTTCTCTTGCAAAAGTGGTTTGGTAAACCCTAATCCAACGTACCACATTCCAAAACATTATTCATTTTCTTGTTTTTAGCATGAAGAACAAAAACCACATGAATGAGTTGCAATGCAAAAATCAATCTTACTAGCCAAAATCCTCCAGTCACATGGGATTGGAGCATGGGCTTCACAAAACTCGGATACTCTGATTCTAAACTAGATTCAAGACGTTCTGCTCTTTAATTGGCATAGGCTTTGTCTTCAGCCGTAGCATAAACTCGATTAAACAAGTCTCTCCGGCTATGGCTCCTGCAATAGTAAATTATGTTAAACTGAAACAATTTGAGAAAGTAAGAACCTTCACACAAGGGAGCCAAACCTTCCGAGTCTTTCCAAAGGTTCAATGGGGACCTGCCATGCCAACCATCAAGAGATCGTGTCATTGAAACATCAACAACTTAACTATATTTCACAGACTATAAATTTTCACAGGTTGTATTACAGTTTTTTAATGGATAATCTCAGTTGCTATCATCATGTTAACGTAATAGTATTCCTTCAACTGATAAAAGCAGCTTGGAAAGGCGTAATAATATCATTCAGCAGTAGTTTATGACAGTGGACACAAATTTCAGAGAGAGCTTACGTCTTTGTAATCTGGTTTGGGCTTGTCTGCAACGCGACTAGATCTTCTCACCGATGTTAGCTCCACCGGTTTCCGAGGCGTCCGGGGCTTCCCTGCATCATTCAGAGTTTAATGCAAGTTCAAAGAGGTTTAGAGATGGAGAAATAATAATGCACAGACATATAATCACCGGAGATGACTTGGGCCTCTTGCTCTTCAAAGCCTGAGAGAGGCACTTAAGATTCAGTTCTTCCATCCTCTTTTGGTTCTCATCTAATCTCTTTCTACGCATTTCTTCATAGCTTAACTCTGCTTCCGCCATTTTCTAGCAAACCAAACGGGAAATGGCAGCTAAAGGATCTTTCTCTATATGGTTTTTACTATAGAAAAACTGGGAGGAAATAAAATTAGCTAACTCTTATTTCCATATGTAACGGGTGAGGGGAAATAGGATAATATGCTGTTTTAATACTATATTTTGAGGTTTAGGGTTTTAAACCAAGAAACGAAACGAAACAGAGGAAGATGAAACAGGAAGCGACGACGTATTGAAGCAAGGTGAGGTCAGAGTTTTGAAATTCAAATTTTCAAATTGCGAATTTCATTACCACTTTTAGAGGTAGTATTATTAAATTAAGAGTATTATAAAAATAATCATTCTTTGAGTAAATTTTATTTTTTCGCTAAGGTTTTAAAAGTAATAAATTTATTATTAACTTTATCGATATGTAATAAATCGAACATTCAATGTTAATAGATTTAATGTGAGTGACAAAAAACTTACATAGTTCATTAAGGTTTTAAAAGTAATAAATTGATCATTAACTTTATCAATCTGTATAAATCGATCATTCGATGTTAACAACTGTTAACGTGAGTGACAAAAAACTTACATAGTTCATTAATCACTTATCTGAATCATTGATCGTTACGTTGGAGAATTCAATTGATGCTTCAAATGATTTAAAGGTATATGACTTATATGAGAATTAAAAGTGAAAATGAAAAAGAGATATATCAGAGTAAATTTTACAAGTCACCGACGATAATAATCGCAATGTTAGGAATCCAAGGAAGTTCAAAACTAGTAAAAAAAATTATCATACCAATAATCTCAAACGACCATGTTATCCACCTTTATATTTTGAATCATAATCCTTTCATCTGCTGATTTAATAAAAAAATCTATTAGAACCATAGATTATTTGTGAAGTGGAAGACTTATTATAAATTACAATGAAATTCATTTGTTGTTGTCATCTGTAAAATGAAACACAAATGATTCACCTTAATACTTTATGTCGGTATATAATTTGTTTGTAAAAGAGGAGATGGACATAGACGAAGCATTAAAATTGGGAAAAACAAACACGTGGAAATGGAAGCAAATTAACATTTTCATTAATAAGCGACATTCTTTGTATCCCCACAATCACAGCAACAAAATCAAGGCGCATCAGATCCAAATCAAACCACCTTTGCACGTGCAATGCAACCCTCCCCGTTTTCTCTACTTTTTTTTTTTCAATATTCCCCATCTCCTATCTTGAAATGGTAAATTATTACTTTTTTTCCTTTCCTCACAAAAATGAAATTATTTATTGTGTGCTAGTGTTAGAGTCATCATTTTTCATTGTATTTTTATCATTCAAGATATTGATAAATTCAATTTATTACTGCCTATTACTTTGTCATTTTAATTATTTTGAATTTCTTGAAAATTCAATCGAAAATTAAGAGAAAATGATTATAATTTACAGTCTTCATCATTCGATAGCAGCACGAAATCAGGAATCTAGTTCGTCTCCTTCTCTTCACCTCTCCACTTTTGAAAAAAAGATGTTCTATCATAAAAAAAATTAAGAATTGAAATTAAAGGTTTTTCATAAAAAGTGAAGAAATTTTTAAGGTCTTATAATTTTTAAAATGGATAATGTTTCATAACTTCATTAATTATTTATCGATAGAAGGATTGAAATGAATAATTAAAATTTTATAAATTAAATTATTTTTCATAAATTTAATTATAAACTAAGAATATAATCAAACACGTTCATACATATTCTGTTGCCTTACGCCAAAAAGGAATATTTATCGACGGAATATGTAATCATGAAACGATTTGGTTTATACGAATAACTTTTCCTCTTCTTTTCGTTCTTCTTTTAGTATATTAATTTGCACCCATTTCATGTAATGAACAACACTAACCATAACTATGACTAAAAAAATTTGACATTCTTTAAATAAAATATTAAAATTAATTTTTACAAATAAAAATTATTTGAATAAATCATACCTTTCAAAGTTCAACTATATTTAAATTTTGATATAATTGAAATTACCATAAAGATTTAAATCTTTATATATCAAAAAAGGTTTCATTTGCTTTTTATTATATAATAAAGATTATCGAATATCGCCACGTCATCGTCGTCCTCCCATTGCCATATCGTTTTTCAGATGTAATTTCCGTGTTACCTTGTGCGTGACTTTAACATTTTCTCTCTTTTCTCTGTCTTCAGGGCTGTAGACGAAGCCAACGGTATCGACCGTTCAGAGGCACATCCTTGACGATATCATAATTGTACCTGCAAAAATATCAAATATAGAAAATGTTTTGTTAGTTAGAGATAGAGATTCTTGTTGATTCTACGAATTTTAGGTTGTGCCATTATGGTGACTGTCCTTATCCTACGCACCCAACAAAAGAGAATGTGAGATCGGACTTACTTCTCTGCAAACCGTTTTTGCTGGTACTTTTCGGCGACGGAGAAGAATTCGTCGATCTCGGCTTTCGAAGGCATCTTCGGCGGCTTCTCTGGTGACGGAAACGGCTTTTGCGCAGGCGAATCCATTTCGTCTGAGCCTCCACAAAGCTCGCTTAAGGGAGTTGTTTCTCTACTGGAAAATAAACCAATGTGAAGGTGTGAAAGAGATTATAAAAACGGAGAGTTAAGGGAAACGACACGGTTTCTTTTTCCTCTAAATTTTGAAGGATAGAAATAGAATGAATTTATAAAAACGTAACAGTAATTAGTTAAGGAATTAGTGAAAATTAACCTGAATTTGATGATGTTGGTGCACGTTGAGATTTCAGTTTCAGAACTCTTCGCCTGCAAAAAGAAAAAGCGCATTCATGAAAATCACCTCTAGATCTACAATTCTCAAGCTATCCTTGAGAATATCACATGGCTCATTGCTTGAACAACGAGAAAACAATGAATCGCCTGAGAAGAGTCCGGAACACATATCTCCGGCCTGTAATCCACAAGAATCCGAGAAAGTGGCGAAGTTAATAGGCTGGTTCTCCGAATTTGAAAGGAAACGAGGGTTTTCGAGCTCGATGTCCGGTGAAGTTAGCTCCAATTCTTTCAATTCACGAGGACCAACGGCTTTTCTTCGCTTTGATAATGAGAAGCTCGAGCATGAAGGTTCCATTTCAGCTGTTTCTCCACTTCGTTTACAGTTCCTCATAGAACCAACCATTTTTTCACTCACTTTTAGTTACTTTTTTCTTTTTTAATAAGCTGATGAGTTTCCTATTTTGGTTTTGCAGTTTCAGAGGTTCAAACTAGAGTGTTTAAAAGGCAATCGAGTGAGAAGATGGACTATTCTGAGCCGTTCAATTTTCCAACGGTGGAGATTTTGTCCTATACAAGTTTCACTGGACAAATTAGGCCACGTGCATAGGTGACGGGTGAATAACAAGTGCCAATGATTCTATCTAATGAGGTAATGAGGTGTTTGAGTCTGATAAAGCATGAAGTATTAAATCCATAATAATATTCTAAATTTGAAAAATGAATTTTTCCTATGACTTAAGGGATTAATATATATAAAGAGTAACACTAGGTCTACGTGATATGTACTATGTAGGGTTGTGCTTATGAGTGTTTTAAAGATAATCTATGATAAACATATAAATAATGGACCTAATATGCTGGATATGATGAATAATAAATTCTCACGAATCAAAAGAACACTATACAATCATGGGTGGTAGATGGAAGATTGACGCATGCAACAACCCTAAATTTAATAACTTTTAATTGTCTAAATTCGGACATGTATAGTCTATTCTCTACAGTCTAAAATAATTAATACATGAATGAATACGTTGTGAGATAATTTTGCTGCAAAAATTAAAGTGTCTTAGTTATTAGAGTTGTTAGAGTGGTAAGATGTTATAAAAGCATTTGGAGATTTTATACAGAAAAATAAATGCTCCAATCAAGATGCACTGAAACAAAACATTCACGTAAAGTTGATATGGAATCCTATGACATTTCGTTTATCAATTCAATAAAATTATTGTTTTTAGAATAAATTATATGTTTAGTATTTAAATTATTATTTTTGTTATATTTTAGTATTTATGTCTTATTTATTTTCAAAATCATATCTAACGTAGTAACGTTTAGTTTAAGTTTTAATGTTATACTTTGTCATTAAAGACTTAACGGTGATATTGTCGTGTCACCATAAAATAATATCACATCATCACTAAAAAAAATTATCACGTCGCCAGTTCTGTTGAGTATTAAAAGTGTGATACCAAATTAAAATATAAATTAAACCTTAGGTGCGATTTCGGAAAAATAAAAATAAATTTTGGATCAAAACAAAACACAAATAATAATTTAGGTACTAAATATATAGTTTCCCTTATTTTCTTTATTAATTTTACTCCTTTTTTGTATTAATATTTTAGTAATTTAATCACTAAAATTATCAATATAATTATATTTACTCTCTATGTAAAGTTTTGTTATAATATAATATTTCTATCATATTAGACAAAATTACAATTTTTTAATCTATATTTAAATATTTGAAGTTTTTAATATCAAATAATTTGTTAACTTTTTTTTATTTATTCAAACTTTTTCTTGAATACTTATTTATTTGTTCAAACTTTGATAGATATAATTTATATGAATATAATCATATAGCGTGATTGTTAAAAGAATTATATAACTTGTAATACAAGAATCTAATTATTCGCACATTAATTATATTAACAATTGACATGTAATAAGATTAAATTTTAACTTCTACAATATTTTCCATTAATCATAATACAATTATATATATGATTTTCTTTAGAAAAAATAAACAAAAACACAATCACAATCACAACCGCAAGTCCCCAGAAGCTCCAACTAATTTTTATTAATTTTGAAACATATTATATTATAAATAATATAAAAAAACCGACATATTTAAATAATAAAATCAGATAATAATATATAACATATAAATACATCTATCTATATCCATGGGGCCATAGGCTGTACGTGTGTGTGAATGGACCAACACAAAGAATGAGTAGTCATTTCAAAGCTCCAGCTAGTGCTATTAGGACCATATTTGATTAAAGAACCTGATGAGATCAAAATAAATATCATCAATTAGGATATTTTTTGCCTTTTTTTAAGTATTCGATTTAGGGATGTAAGTGAATTGAGTTTGAATGATAAAGATTTTATTTATGTTCGTTTTTTTGTTTTTAAAGTTATTTATGTTTGATTCATATTTATTTAAATTTTTAATATTATATTTATATTTATTTATTTTTAAAAGTATTTATAATTATTCATTTAATTATTATGAACATGTTCGTTTGTTTATAGTCGTAAACATATTCATCCGGGGTTCACTAAGATGTTATTTTGCAAGTTAAAAAATAGTCAAAATACGTCATTAGTACTTAAAACTCCTTAAGCTCCATAGTTTCAACTCCAAATTTTACCTTTGTTCAATTTAATCTATACATTCACCAATATTTAAAATTTTAAAAAATAAATAGTATATAAACAATTAAACGAACTTTATCATGAACATAAACAAGTGAGTCGATACACAAACTTGTTTGTGAAAATAAATAAATTGAAAACACCTCTTGTTTGTGTTCATTCATTTATTAATATACATAAATTTTTTATTCATATTCATTTATTTAACTAAAAAAAATAAACGTAAATAAATATTATATGAACACCAAACAATTTCTTCGTTTACACAGCTAATTCGAGCTAACAGCCTTCCATACAATCTAACACTCCAAGAATAAATATAAAAAAAAAGTTTTTAGGGGTGTTTGGTTCAAGAATTCTGGGATGGGAATCCCACATTCCCATGTTTGGTTGGCCGGGAATCTCATTCTCTGTAATATTTTATTACCAATAGTAGATTTTTTTGGGTATATTACCGGGAATGTCATTACCTCCCTTCCCTTAGGTATTGTAACATTACCGGTGTTTTGGACTAAAATGTCCTTAAATTTTTATTTTTGTTCAAAAATATCATTATTCTATCATTGAATAATAAAAATTCTACGAAGGTTAAATTACAAATTTATCCTTAAATTATTTTAGATTTACAAAAAAAATTCTATAATTAAAATTTTATATGAAATTCAAGGATTAAAAAAATTATCCTTTCATTAAACCTTTTTTATATTTTTAATTTTGTAAAAAAAATTATATAAATATTATGAATTTAATTTTTTAAAGAAAATATATAAATATTTTACAATTTGTAATATTATACAAATATATAATAAGGACAATTTGGTTAAATATACATTCCAATAATATTTTATTCCTTTAACCAAACACGGTAATCTTACATTCCTGCTAAACCAACCAAACATAAAATACAACATTTCCAGTAATCCTATTCCCTGATAATCTTTTATTCTCATTGATAATCTTACATCCCGTGAACCAAACGCACCCTTAATGTTTAGGAGGTACATGTAGGTTAACTATTTATAACAACTCGTGTCAGTGCGATGAAGTCGGTGATGGCTAGGTCAGAGCTGAATTAATCTTTTAAAGCAAAAGTATATGTAGGTGCATGAAAGCAGCCATGGTCATGCATGCTCATAAGATTAAAATTTTGAACTTTTAAAATATATATTTTTAAAAAATATGATTATATAACTTATTAGTTTAATTCTCAAATATATCATATTTAAATTTTGATCAGCTGGCTGTTTAGACTTGGCTTGGAGAGAGTTAACAGTAGACAAACTCGCTAAGTTTTAGGTTAAAAGATCATCACTAATATGTGTACCAAATACATATATGTACTTATTTTTTTTGGCAATAAGAACTAAGGATGAGTATGAACCCGATTTAATAAGTTTTAAGTTGGTTCGACTTAAAATAATAGTATATAAATAATTCTGATATTTTTAAAATTTGAATTTAAATATTATAAAAATGACATAAATCCCAAATACATAGTACCTAGTGTGCAGACAGTGTAGCAATTCATGATTCGATTGGGTCAGTAACTTTGAAGTTTCTGAATACCAAAAAGGAGAATAGCCTGAAATTTGGAAGGTGCAGGTACTACACCAACCTTCAATAATTCAAATAAACATAGGCATGGACCAGCTGTTTCCTCAGCCCTAATATACACAGACATTCATACACAAACTTAAATAAGGTCTGCTTTTGTGGCTACAAACATCTTTTCATCCTTAAAAATTTAAAACGAACGAATTAACACCGAGGTGAATGCATTGTTTAAGGAAAATAAACAAAAGATATTTTTTTTATTTGTATATCGACGTTAATAACAAACATAAGATTTTAAAATTGTCAAAGAGAACGATTGCCTCAGTTATCTTTCTATCCATCCCGTGTTGGGGCGGTAGGTGATGATGTCCACACCTGCAATTTTCTTGTTTTTGTGCAGCTGAAAATTGGATCACCATAATTAATAATTTTTGTTTTTTTGGGCACAATTTCGATCCTCACGGCTGAAGTGTGGGGTATTTATGTTGGTCTTCAATTGACTTGGTCTCATGGTTTCGAGAGAATTTCGGTCCAAACAGACAATAGCACCTCCTTTTAAGTGCTTCGGCTGACTGTCCTTTTTCGCTAGTTCGAATGATTTCGGTGCTCCTCTGTAAAGCATGGTATGTTGACTTCAACTTGGTGAAGAGGGAAGCGAATGGAGCGACAGATTTCATGGCAAAAATTGTCTCTCAGAGCGATGGTTCGTTACTTCTTTTTAGCACTCCGCCAAATGGTCTTCTTCCAATCCTACATAGGAACATCCATGGTCCACTTTTCTTAAGGTCCCAATGATCTTGTAATACTTTTAGCTTTGCTTCATTCAAAAATAAATAAATAAGTTTATTTGTCTTCACCTATTTCTATATATTTATAAAAATATATGATCAAATTATAGATGGATTAAATTATCTAACTTCAAATTTTTTTAAAAAATTGTTAAGTATTTAAAAATTAAGACACGATGCTTAAATTAAATATGATTTAAACTAACGCAAACAAAAAAATAATATTAAATTAAAAATTTTTGGGAGTTTGACCGTATATTAAGGCTGTCGTACAGTAGAACTACCCGGGACGAGCTTGGCCCTATGTACCTTCGTACCAAATATTTTGATATAATTTTTTTATTGAATCAATGTATAAATTCAAATATTAAAATTATTTTCATTACGAATTTAGGCCTAATAACATTTTTTGTCTTTGATCTTTAAAAAAAATCATTTAGCCTTCGTCGATGTTAATTATTTTACTTTTAATCATTTTCAATTTTAAAAAATAGTTTATTATTTTTAATGATTTATTTATATATTATTTTTTTTACAAAACTTAATATATTTTATATTATTTTTACTTGAAATGAAAAATAACTGACACCAATATTAACAAAAAAAATAGCTTATCATTTTTGTTATTTAAAAAAAATGTTGGAGGGCTAAAGGAGGCGAATACAAATTTTAAGGGATAAAATGTTTTTTTTTCTGAAAAGTTTGAGGGCTAAAAGTATTATTGGACCTTATATTCATGTTTTATTTTATTTATTTTTTGGCTTATAACACAAAATAGCTCTTGAACTTTTCATGTTTGGTTAAATTGGCCCCTGAACTTTGAAAGTTTGATCAAATTAACCCTAAACTTTTTTTGGGAGACAGATTATCCACGAACTTGTCAAGTTAGATCAAATTGGCCTTTGAATATTTTGGAGTTCAATTTTCTTCTTAACTTAAAAGTTACTAATAAAGTTTCAGTGGTTAATTTGACTAAATATATCCAGATTAGGGCCAATTTGAAACAAAAAAAAATCCAAGAGTCAATTTGACCAAAACCATCAAATTCAAGAGTCATTTTGAGTTTCAAACCATTATTTAAATAACACGAATCAAACAACCTTATTAATCAGGAGATTTATTGTTATCTCTTGAGGTCAAGGATTCGAACACCACATATGCGAGAGTATGAGCATACGTTGTCAAAGGATTGAGAATCTTTGAATATATACTACTTTGTATTCATCGCATATTTATAAAAAAATAGATATAAAATAATACCAGCAGTAATCGTTTAGTAAAATATTTTTAAAAGAAAATTTCGTAATCTTTTTTTTCTTGTTCTTAAGCAAAGATATATATTTTCTAAACCATACAAATAAAGATAACATGTTAAAAACCTTGGCCAGGTGTTGGAGGGGACCAAAATCTATCTGTATAAGTTATTCACTTGAATCTTTAGAAAAAAATAGAATAAAAATATTTATTTAAATGCAATAAAAATCGATTTCTCTTAAATATGATGCATTACTTTTAAAAATGCATAATCCTTTTGAGAAACAATAGTAATATTACATGCAATGTTAATTAGAGAGCCGAACAATAAAGTAGTTGTTTAGACCCGGTGGATTTTGGGCAACCCAAGTTTTAAGCCTAACAAATCAACCACTGGTTGCATCATTTCCTCGTAAACCCAAATTTACCTATATTATTTGCCTATATTTGAAGATTTAGTTAAAATTTACGAGAGTTTTAGTAAAAATAGTAAATTTAAAAAATAAGTTTTTATATTTTAGTAGATATATTTAGGATACAGATCGAATTCAAACATATTATATAAATCTAAGATTACTTGATCTGTATTGTAAGTTCATTATATATTATATTATTCGATGCTTAAGTGATTAAAATATTAAAATTGATAATATAATTGATCAAAAATATATTTTTTAAACATCAATGAATAAAAATAAAACGAAAATGACAATTTTAATAATTTATTCTAACATAATATATAAATTTAAACATCGAAAGACATTTTAAGACACAAACTCTAATATTATCCAACTCATATTTATCTTATAAAAACTTTAATTATATGAGCCTAATTCACCTTTTTCGAAATATATAATATTTTTGATTATATAAACAAAGTGATCTCAATAATTAAAAGGATAATTATTATTTCTAGAATTCTTAAATTTAAGTATATATTTTATAAGATGGTTTGAGTATTCATTAAAGGAATGATTAATAATCTTTCCAACATTGCGATCATTTTTAGATTAATAAAAAAATTATTAAAATAAATAATTTAAAATATAATTTTATATTTTTTATTAATAATAATAGTTAAAAAGATAAAATAATTAAAAACGTAAAGGAAAAGGAAAGCGAAGATCATGTGGGGATTTTTGATAATCAAAAGCATTACTTGAAAACAATTTTCTCACAGCATCATCATCATAAGGCAAAACATCCCAAATCCCTCTTTATCAGACGCAAATGCAGGCAAGCACGAAGATAATTTTTTTTTACAATATAAATCATTTTTAATTAAAGAAAAAAAAAGCGAAAAAACAGAGGAACGGGCGTGTGCTCCATCAACGGCAACGGTCTTTAGGAAGAAAAAATAGAGCCTAATCATTTTGTTCTTCACGAGAACTAACCTCCATATCTCTCTCAATTCATTTTATTAGTAAAACAATTGGCATTTCATTAGAAAATAAGAAGAAGAGATAGCTCTACGTGAGTTGAAAAGGAGAGAAAAAAAAAGGGAGAAAAGCCCAATAGAGAAAATAGTTGCCAATGCCTTTTTGATTGCTTTGCTTTTTGAGCTTAAGAACCATGGCCGACGATCTGGGTTTCTTCAGCAAGGTCAGTATCTTTTATTTCCCCCTTTGGGCATGTTTAGCTGTTTCATTGTCGTCATATAGAGTGAGATTGAAGATTCTTTTATTAATTTGTATTTTCTATATATGTTAAGAGTGTCATGTGAAATTTGCTTTATTTGGTTCTCTGTAAAACGTAAAATCTTTACAAAACACGCATGTTTTTTGGGGGGTTTGTTTCCTTTTTATCACTTCATTGAGATACAAGCAACACCCTGATTTCATTGTCATGAAAGATATGTTCTATTATTGTATTTTCGATGTTGATGTATTTTCATATGTTAAACGTGATTAATCAATTAATTAATGTCAAATTGTGGATTAAACTTATAAAAGTGATGACTTATCCAGCACACAACTGAGTTTTTCTAGCTAGATTAGAGCAGGGTTTACTGTTACAGCAATACCCATACCATATCTTTCCAAGAGCTTCATTGAATTGATTACTAGTGAGGAAATGGTCTGATTTCTTTGTTTTTAATATCTGGGTAATTCATTAAATTTCAGGATTCTTTCATCCTAAAGTTTCCAAAGAAGTCTCCATTGGTGTTGAGGATGGTTGTATTGCTGTTTGTAATGGTTTGTGGTTTGTATATATGCTCGATTTGTTTGAAGCAAATAAGCACCAGCAGCACGCATGAGTTTTTGAACATCGGAGTGATCCAAAAGCCGTGTCCGGAACCAAATATCAAGCCATGGGAAATTCCATACGTGCATTATCCGAACCCCAAAACTTCCAGCAGGTATGAAACTGATTTTATTGCTCCTGAGTTTGGTTTTTAGTTTTATGACTTAATTGTGGGCTTTCTTGTGTGTGATTAGGGCTGAGTGTGCATGCAATCCTGTCCGGTATTTTGCCATTATGTCGATGCAGAGATCTGGGAGTGGATGGTTTGAAACATTATTGAACAATCATACTAACATAAGCTCAAATGGGGAGATATTCTCTGTCAAAGTTAGGAGAAGTAATGTGTCAACAATTTTTGAGACTTTGGACAAAGTTTATAACTTGGACTGGTTCAGCAGTGCCTCGAAAAATGAGTGCACAGCTGCAGTTGGCTTGAAATGGATGCTTAATCAGGTGAGCTGCTCATAGCTTCTAAAGTTTAGTTGCAATTTGCTAACATTGTTGTAGCAGAAATTCGTGACCTTATTGAAATGCCTTTACAATCTTTACTTCACGAGTCTGTGAACAGGAATTGAGTAACCTTGAGAACTAAAAATTGTTCACTGTATTGGCTATACAAAGCCGTATGTATACTAGTTAGATCCATATTAGGAATGGCTATTATAGTGGGTTGAAGCAAACTTTACAATTAGTTTATTGAGCATGAAGCAGAAGACACACAAAACATCCTTTATATAGTTACACTTGTGCTTATAGTATTATAGTGCAACTTTTGAATTCATTGGTTTCTAGAGCACTCTCTTGAGTTGATCATCTCTTTCTGTGTTTCATATTCTTTTTTCTTATTCAATTTTATCCAGAATTTTATTTTCTAGCTCTAGTTTTATGTAATTCTCTTAGCATTCGGATGTATTTTCCCTGCAATTAGAAGCACAGCCCCTGTTGCTCCCCAAAAGTGCAACTATCCTAGCTTGTTTTACCCAAAAAAAAGAAAGACCGTTCATCCTATTCATTTTGTTATTATTCTCAGATACCACCAATCATGTATTCTTAACTCAGCCAGTGGCTTTATGTAACTGTCGCTAACTGGAGACTTATTTGCATCCAGACACTCTTTTTACTTGGACAGCATGTTCCAATTCTTTTTGCACAAAGTTGGGTATGATTATCAGATACCATATAGTGTTTCACATCTGATAATATTTAGGGAATAATTCTTAAGTGCCCCACTTAAGAGAGAAGACCCGTTGCATAAGTTCTTTGTATTTTTTGGTTTTATTTGTTTTCTAATGAGAAGCCCAATTACGGGTAAATATTTACCACTACATTGATGGAGAACAGCTATACATTTTTGTTGCCATGAATGAATACAGTGGAGACTAGCAAAATCATGAAAGGAAAACAGGAGAAGTTTCTATAACAAATAAACACAGGAAAGAAGAGATGGTAGGTTCTGCAATGCTGAGGGACTAAGATGGTTAAAATCTGTGTTTGGAAGTTGAGAAAATATGTATCAATAGAAGATTTCCCCTTATTCGATTTTCTGGGGACTCAGGGAAAATGTATTCAATGTTTGTTGATAACTCATATTTCTTTTTTGAGCCTTTAAGATTAGCATCTTCTTCATGATTTGAGAACAATGGCTCTGATGAAAATATTCGTTAATGAAAACAGCTTTCTTTATGTTCAAAACATTATAAAGGTGGTATTTTGTGAATAGACATTGCTGTTAGTGTTGAATTTGCAAAAAAAAAGATTGTGATTAACCTTGTCTCTGATGTGTTCATGATCATAATCCTTTACTGCAGGGACTGATGCAGCACCATAAAGAAATAGTCGAATACTTTAATACTCGGGGTGTTTCAGCTATTTTTCTCTTTCGAAGGAATCTTTTGCGGAGGTTGATTTCAATACTAGCAAATTCTTATGATCGGGATGCTAAGCTACTGAATGGAACCCACAAGTCTCATGTTCATTCGCTTCATGAGGTTTTCATCCTTCTCCTTCTGTGTGTGTGTGTGTGTATGTGTGATACTTACAAGTTTCAATTTTCAACTCTTACGTTAACGATTTCAGGCCGAGATACTTGCTAGCTACAAACCTGCAATCAATGCAACGTTGCTCATTCCAAATATAAGGCAGGTTGAAGAGACAACTAAAAAGGCTTTGGAGTACTTCAAAAGCATCCGACATATCATACTTTACTATGAGGATGTAGTAAAGAATCGCACTGTAAGAAAATAAATGCTATAAAAAGTTGATCTTTTCTTACCTAATCTTGTATCTACTTGCGGGTTCTCAAGTCTTATTTGCCGTTGTGCTGTTTTTCAGAAGTTAGATGAGGTTCAAGAATTCCTAAAGGTTCCAAAGAGGGAGTTAAGGAGTCGTCAGGTAAAGATACACAAGGGATCTTTATCGAATCACATTCAGAATTGGAAGGATGTAGAAAAAGCACTCAACGGGACGCAGTATGAAAGCTACCTATATGGAGATTACAAGAGGTAAAAAGCATTGCCACGATGTGCATTCTATTATCAACCATTTTTTTCTTTTTGGTTTAAATCTCCAAATGACAGGAGTCAACAGGGGGGAACCCAGCAAGCCACCCTGTTGGGATTTTGGCTATAGAGTGCTTATCTTAGAAACTTCTTTTAGCTTCACACTGACTATTCTATTCATTCTTTTACCCTCTAAACACATCAACTCTGCTGTATGTTCATTTCTTTTGTGTCTTAAATGAAAAGAGAAAATTGCCCTTTTTTTCTTCTAGCAATGTATATGTTGATAATGCCTATCTATGGAGTATTTGTTTAGAGAATATCTGTTATTGAAGCTGGTGTGATTTCCTCCCCTATGTTGCAGTTGCAGATAATAGTGATGATTGTTGAAGAAAACCATATTTATTGGATTTTGATATTCATGATCAAAACCCATACTTTATCATACTATTACGTAACTAAGATGGTTGAAGCACGACATCATTATGAAAAGATTGAAAGTCTTTATTACTTTGTATAAAAAATATAGAATTGGAACACGGAATGAACGCCCTGACATTCAAAGTCATAGAATTGTAGCCATTGGGCACACTTACTTTTAGGACATAGAGCCATCCTTTTTGACCCACCAACTCTCTACTTTGTTCCAACATGCCATCTTAATTACGTCTTCAAATCATGATTATCATATAATCAACCGCGCTTAAAGGTTTTGCTTGCTCCATTTTAACTTCTGCATATTATAGGGACTGATAGCAACAGAGACCAAAGAAATATAGAAATATACTAAAATAAAATTAATACTCATTAATTATTGTTCAAAGTGTAAATAATTTAATAATTTTCGATTAAATTTATATTTTATTAACTTGTGATATTAAATTTAATGACGAGACTAAAAATATCAATTACTCTGAAGCTGACTTTATTAAAAATGATAAAGTTTATAAATATAATTATATCAATTATATAATTGCAAGCGGTGCATCCCTTTCTAAATTCTATTACTACAACCAATTAAACTAATTATTATTTTTATCATAAACAAAAAAGAAGAAAAGTAAAACAGACACAATTGGACCGCCGGTTGCATCACACCGTCCAGGTCAGCATGAAACGACCCCACACGACAACCAAGTGGCCTGTCGCCTAAACTCACGGCACGTGGCGGGACGGCAACAAGAAATGGGGTCAAATTATGGTTTTGATCCTTTTTATTATATTTCAAATTTAATATCCGATCTCTATGCTTGTATATATTTTTAATATAGAAAGAAAGGAAAGTTAGTTGTCTTGTGAATCTAATTGTAGTAACATTTTCATTAAAATTGAAGGGAATCAAACACGGTTTTATCAATTGAGCCATCACATTTATCAGTTACTATAATTGCACTCGTTTAGTAAAAAAAATATGAATTTATGTTTATTCTTTTAATGTTCATGAATACATTAATCGAATATAAATAAACAAACAATTCGTAAATGAACAAAATTCTAATTTTCTAAACATAAAATAATCAACCATAAATATTAATAATTATATTATAAATAAATGATATAAAATAAATATAATTAGATAAAGTACAACATTAATCACTGAATTTCGAGCACCGTCTTATTTTTGTTACTAAATTGTAAAAGATTAATCTAAATTTCAATTTTTTAATGTTTCGATCTCTTTCAATGGTTGTTCGATGAGACTAATTTTAAGGTATATTATTCGTCTTCTTGCAAACATACTTTTCATCGTTCATATTTTTCGACGAACATCTTAAAGCCCTCAAATTCGAGAAAATCCTAAATTCTTAAAGTGGTCATTTTTATGTTTCATTTGATGTGTTTAAAAAGGTTTTAAGAAAATCTAAATCGAGAGAATAGTTGAAAACGATAAAAATATTTATTGATGTTTAGAATGATCGTAAAAAAAACAATAAACAAAATGATTTATGACAATGATTAAGAATGGTAAAAAAAATCTAAGCTTGAATGGAGAAAATCACGAGGTGAAAAAAGGGGAAAAAATTACATCGACAATGTCACACAAAATAAATAAAAAATATACTTTTATTTAATTTAAAAGTAGATTATACGTTTAATAATCAAACTATTATTTTTATTTCATTTTTGGTACTTCAATTTTATTATAAAATAAAATCATACCTAACATTTAGCTTAAGTTTTATTTTGGTACTCATCGTTAAAAACTTAACGGTTATGTTGACGTGTCACCATAAGTTAATGTCACATCATTATTGAAAAAAATAAATAAATATCACATTAGTAGTTATGTTAATTTTTTAACAGCAGAATACCAAATTTAAACATAAATTAAACGTTAGGTATGATTTTGAAAAAAGTAAAGTTTTAGTATCAAACCGGAATAAAAGCAATAATTTAGGCACTAAATGCATATTTTAACCCTTAATTTAATTATAATATAAATAGTTCGTCGATAGAAATGTTTAAATACAACAAGATGGAACTATATCAAATCAAAGTAAAAAGGTTAATGATAGTATAAGGACCAGAATAAGAATTTAACCAAAAGAAGAAAATGCAAACAACCACCAACGTTGTAACCGAGGCCCTCACCCTATACACTCAGATCCACCGCCTCCCTTTATAAACTTACGTTTCTTCAGACAACAGTTTTCCCTCTTTCTTCCTCTGGTTTTTTCTTTCTCTCGTTCGTTCGCCTCTTAAACGGTGAAAAGAGAGAAGATTCAAAGCGTTAGATCAGGTCGTGTTATCTATCTATTCATCAAGATGCAGTCAACCAGCGGTACTGATCTGAACCCGAAACAAGAACAACAACAAGAACAGCAGCAGCAGCAGCCGCAACAACAACGGTCGCAGTGGCCGGCGGGCCAGTGGATGGGAGCCATGCAATACCCGACGGCGGCTGCGATGGTAATGATGCAGCAGCAGATGATGATGTACCCTCACCATTACATGGCTTACAACAATCCTCATTTTCAGTACCAACAATATCAGCAGCAGCAGCAGCAGCAAGATAAGCGCTCATACCATCAGCAAAGCTACTCGCAGAAGCAGCAACAACAAGGGTCTAATTCGGGTGAGGTTAAAACGATCTGGGTCGGTGACCTTGCTCATTGGATGGACGAGACTTATCTTCATGGTTGCTTTTCTCAAACCGGAGAGGTAAAGTTAGAAACGATTAGATGAATGTCTTGTTATATGTGAATCTTACTTTTAGATCTCCTTGGTGGTTTGTGGAATCATTTTGTTACTCTTTTTACTGGGGTTTTAGTGCACTCAAGGTTTATGCTAGATTAGAGAAAGTGATGGATGATTGATTGATTAAAGAGGATTTATGAAATGGGTTGCAGTTAAGAGCTTGTTTCCTATAATTAAGTTGGTCTTATCATTGTTAGGATAGAAGACAATGCGCCATAATTGATTATTAAAGTGAGTTGTAGACAATTTGTGGTTTAATTCATACACAAGATATAAGAAAATGTAAGCCGGTGGTTTATTTTTGTTTGTCTAATTAGGGTAATTAATTTTTCTAAATTTGTGGTTTATTTAAATACAAAGAGTGCTAATAATAAAATAAAATAAAATACAAAGAGTGTTTTCTATTCAAGCTAAATAGACATTTTCTCTTGCCATAATAAAGTAATACTGAATAAATGCTTTTGAGTATAGAGGATTAGGTTCTGGTTAAATTCTGCTTGCATTTCATTTAATTAACTTGAATTATAAGTTGCTTCATTAGTAAAATAAACCCCCAATTCTTATCACAACCTGAAGCAATAGAAGGGTCTCGTATAGTTCTTGTTAGAATTTTAATGTAATAGTTGGATCCTTCCTTATCGTTTTAAGCTTTTTAAATTCCTTCGTGTAATTTAACATGATACAAGAGCTCTTGGTTTGAATAACCGAAACACATCTACCTTTTACTATTCTTCACCCAATGCCTTTTGAGTTTTGACCGTATAATGCTTTAATCTTTCTTTCAGCTTGCACATCAGACCTTTTAATCAATCATCAGAACTGTGTGTGAAGGGTGTGTTAGAACTATAAACGAATACCTTTTCATGTTGGGTGTTAGTTTGAGAAGGGGGCGGGGTTGGAGGTTGACCGTATGGCAATCAATTATGCTTGCATTTTGCCTTGCTACATGGACTTCTTAATATAAGAAATTTAATGTAGATAACTTGTTCATGAACACTGGAAATAGAATCCTCTTGATTTGGATTCAAAGGTCACCGAGATGATTATGTGGAAAAGTTCGGGACAGTATTTGAAGGAAGTGCTCAACTCATATTGGAACTATTTATTTATGAGAACAGCTCTCTTGTACGTGATCTTGTAGAAAGCTTTCTTCATTTCTTTGCTTGTATTACTTAAAAAAGTTTCACTGCAGAAAAGAAGCAGTGAGAAGACTAACAAGATTTTGAATATTTTACTGTTCTTTGGAATCTTGAAATATACAAAAGATTGTATTGGTTTTATTTCTTTTGAAGATTAGCTGCTCATTGTGCATCTTATGTTGATTAGTGACCAATACCTTTTTGAACATTTTACTTGATTATCCTTAAGACAAGCTCCTGCAAGTAAAAGTGCCTTGTTTCTGACATTTGGCCTTCCAAAATCCAGGTTTCTTCTGTCAAGATTATACGCAATAAGCAAACTGGTCAGTCTGAAGGATATGGATTCGTGGAATTTCACTCACGAGCAGCGGCAGAAAAGGTCTTGCAAAGCTATAATGGCTCTTTAATGCCAAATACAGAGCAGCCTTTTCGTCTCAATTGGGCTTCATTCAGTGTGAACGAAAGGCGACCTGAAATGGGTTCTGACCTATCGATTTTTGTAGGGGATTTGGCTGCAGATGTAACTGATACCATATTGCATGAAACCTTTTCTAGTAGATTTCAATCTGTCAAAGTAGCAAAAGTTGTTATTGATTCAAATACAGGTCGTTCAAAAGGTTACGGTTTTGTTAGGTTCAGTGATGAAAATGAAAGATCAAGGGCTATGACTGAAATGAATGGTGAATATTGCTTAAGTAGACCTATGAGAATCGGTGTTGCTACTCCCAAGAAAGCATCTGGATATCAGCAACAGTATTCTTCACAAGGTATGATTTCTGCCATAAGGGTGATTAATATGCTTGGGTGGCCTTTGATGTAAATCTTCCTCTCTTCAACCTTGGTACAACGTCCTGATCTTCATTAGTGAAACTGGTGATTAACTGGTTCTGACTTTAGAGTCGTATGTGATTTTGTCCTTTCTATTTCTTTCAAAGAATAAATTCTTCATCTCGGGCTTGTTTCATATGTTGGAGTATGCTATTTCAAATGTTCATCATCTGGTCTTTTTTCCTTTTTTAGCATGGAGATCCCGGGATTTTCCTTAATCCTTCTATCATCTTGTTGAATGTATACTATTTGCATCTTAAAGCTTGACGTGTGTTTTAATTGAATCATTATGTTTTCATTTTTATTTTTGTTAGCGGTTGTTTTGTCTGGTGGACATGCATTAAATGGTGCTGTAGCAAAAGGTTCTCAATACGACGATGATTCAAATAATGCTACCGTGAGTCCTCCCTCCTTCGTTGCTATCTTCTCCCTTATATGTACCATTGATTATGAAGTTATGTTTCTTGCAGATATTCGTTGGAGGACTTGACTCCGATGTTACTGATAATGATCTGAAACAACCTTTTTCACATTTTGGTGAGATCATCTCTGTCAAAATACCACCCGGAAAAGGATGTGGGTTTGTGCAATTTGTGAACAGGTGCCTCTCTATGTGTACTTAACTTCCACACATTGTACGTTACCATTTGTTGAAGTGTCATTAAAGATTCGTATTTAGAGCTCTATTAGTGATAATATCATCAAAGTATCGATGCACATTTTTAACTCGAGTGATGCAGAGTGCTAGGTTTCTTACAATCAGTGTCATGGCATGTGGGTTCATTGTTAATTTGTTTTCTACTAATGGTTCCTATAGTAATTTAATGTGTATACTTTGCAGGAAGAACGCCGAGGAAGCAATCCAGAGTTTGAATGGGACAACCATAGGCAAGCAGACTGTCCGTCTTTCTTGGGGTCGCAATGTCGGAAACAGACAGGTAAATTTATGCTAAACTAGATATTCTTGCTAGGCAACTGTCTTATGGCCTATTTGTTGCTGCCTTTCTGCAAAATGCCTGAGCATATATCACCGATGAAAAGGAATAAAACAAACAAACTTTATATTGTAGAAAAAATAGAATTTCTTGGCTAATTCCTAATTAATATGCCCGAGGCTACGTAATATTATAACATAGCATGAGTAGTTATAGAATCTCCTGAAGGTGGGATGCACACCTTTCTGCTATTATTTGTGTTATTTCTCAACTCCGGTTTTTGACAGTGGAGAGGCGATTCTGGTAACCAGTGGAATGGAGGATATTACCAAGGGCAAGGGTATGGCGGTTATGGTTACGGATATGCTATGTTGTCAAATCAGGATCCGAGCACATATGCCACGGCTGCTATCCCCGGTGCATCTTGATGGAGGCGTAACAGATGGATCAAAGCATGTATGACGATTAGCACCAGTGGCTATGTAGTATGAACTTTCAGGTGAAGTTTTTTAAGTTTATTTTTTTTGTAGGATGGGGTTTTGCTTGCTGCTTTAGCTGGATCTTCAGCTTGAGGAATTTTGTTACTGGTTTGTTTTAGAACTGTATTAATTTGTCATTTAAAACTTCAAATTGTGTTTTGAGTGTCGGTGTGTTTTTCTTTTTCTTTTTATGTTATTTTTTAAAATTCACAAACAATGAAAGAGGGAGAGCTTAATCATTAATTTTTTTTTTACATGTTTTTGAGCAAATCAAAAGATTGCATTTCATGTTGTTTTGCGAGTCACGGTCTTGTACTTTCCTGTTGCTATATTAATAGCCACCAGCTTCAGCTAATCCTATAGCCTAATTATCCTAAAGGTGTTTTTGTTAATACAAAAAAAAAATACTATAAAATTTAAAATTATACATAAATATTCGATGAATTTAAACATAAAGTATAGACAATTTTGATTCAGTTTTATGCATTTAAAAGAATAAGTAAATCTCAATATATAGTTTGCAGAAGTGTAATAAGTAAAACATAAATGGTATGGTGTTTGTGATTTTGTAAAAGAATCGCGCATTCATGTATGCACAGTTTGAAGGTTTATTTTAAATTTGTTACTTGAAGCCAAGGGTGCCCCTAATACAAGCTTATTAGTGAAGTGAATTGAATTTCAACTTGCTTGTTATGGGGGTTTGACTGTTGAATCTTGATTTTGCTTTTAAACCTAAATGAATGTCTATTCTTTTACGTACCAAAAGAGAAAATATATTTAAAGAAATGTAGATAGATAGTAAGAGAGAATAATATTTTCTTTATAACTAGGATAATTCAATATACATTACTAGAATCTCTGCTATCTGAATGTATACAATGCGAAGAAAACATCGTGTTTTCAATGTATTTTTTTAGAGACATATTCATACAACTTATTGATACTGTAATATCTCAACAATTATTTTTTCTAACACTGATATGAGTTAATTTTTTTTTATATCATTAACTAAATAATTTTACCAATAAAACATTTTTGGCCATCTGAATAAATAAGAAAGATAATGTTATTTTGATATTTAATCTTTAGAAATATATACATGATTAAAAAAGCTAAAATTTTACACCCTCTCCTTCCTTTCACTTTCCTCCCTAATTTCTTCCTTATAAAGTCCTCCATTTCTACCGTCATCTTGGTTGTTATTCCCAATCTTCCTACCTTCAAGAAGCCATGGAAGTGGTGGTGCCGGTGCCTGCAGCGGCTGTGGAATTCAACTTCGACAACACATGTTCGTCTCCATACATGACTGCTCCTTCGAGTCCTCAAAGCTTCGGCAGTAGCTTCTTCTTCGGTGCTCCCACCAGTCCCACTCGTGCTTCTTCCTTTGCAGCGGTTCCTTTCGAATGGGAGGAAAAGCCTGGTGTCCCTAAAAGAAAAGGTTTTCATGCAAGAATACACAAAAAAGATGAGACCAACGATGACGATAATGGTGGTGGTGATGATCGGTGTGAAGATTTTGATTTCGAGTTCGAGCTTAGTGGACAGTTTGAGAGAACTTCTTTGTCAGCTGAGCAGCTCTTCGATGGCGGAAAGATTCGGCCATTGAAACCGCCGCCTGGGTTTTCGGAGTTCTCAAGCACCGTTTCTTCTCCGAAAGCGAGAGCTTTTCGAAAGAACGACGTTGATCCATTCGAAACAGCCATCGAGAAGTCTCGTAAAGGATCGGTATTAGTGGAGCCAAAAAACATACAACCAGAATCGAAAGAACGAGGGAGGAACCGATCCTCCGCTCGTTCTTCATCATCATCTTCAACCTCCAACAAGAAGTACAACTACGTTCATAAGAAGAGCAGATCACTGTCTCCTTTCAGAGTATCCAACGACACCACGTTCGAGCAAGAGACAAGCAATCCCAAATCCTATGTTTCTTCAATCCTGTCGGCCATTTCGTTCTCGAAAGTTAACAGAAAATGGAAGTTGAAAGATCTTTTGTTGTTCAGGAGTGCATCGGAAGGGAGGGCAACGAGTAATGATTCTTTCAGAAAATATGCTGTTTTGTCTAAGAAAGACGCCGAGGATCTTAACAATTTAAGCTTCCAGTCTACTGAGAGTGTCGCGTCGAGTTCGAGGCGAGTTTCGGCTCACGAGTTGCATTACACGGTGAACCGGGCCATGTCGGAGGATATGAGGAGGAAGACATTTTTACCATACAAGCAGGGTCTTCTTGGATGCTTGGGGTTCAACCCTGGAATGCATGAGCTCTCCACGAGTATTGCGTCTTTGACACATGGATGATCAACATTTCCTGATTTAGTGCTTCTTTTTAATGTTATCATTTTAATTTTATTTACTATTAAATTTTATGTTTAATTTGGAATATTTCCCTTAAATATGTTTTTACTCGAGGTACATATAGGATTTTGATTTTTCATTTTGCTTGTGTTGTAAAATAAATTGATATGGCTATGGATCAGAATATATGTGCTTTTTTATTGTGATTTGTCTATGAAATTACATGGATATGTGACCACAAAAGCATGGATTAAAGGAATAACATAAAGAGAACACACGGAGTGGAAAAGCTATATAATCATGTTGTTATGGAATAATGTTGCCTAAACTGTTGCATTGTTTCAACCCCCAAAAAAGGGTGGCCATGCCTTCAAAATTCAACTAATCACCTACGTTTTGTTCTAAAAAATTAATTAATTAACAAACCAGATCATCTAAAGAAATGTTGTAGATGAAGCAGGGCAATTGAAACTGTCACAGGGTCATCTCAATGTGTCCTTAGTGATGGTCTTATCTTATGTTGTAATGCTTTCATATCATTATCATTTTATGTTTCAAAATTAAATAATATTAAAATATATACATATAATATATCATTTCAAAAAAAAAAATCATATTCTAATAGATGGATTTAATTTGATTTTTTTGGACTTAACTCTTTCTTAATAGATATCCATCAAATTTGCAATAATCGATAGCAAGAATGATTGCAATGGTAGGTTTAAAGGAAGTGTAGGCATGTGGATGTAGAGGAAAGCAAGTAAATATCCTAAAATCATGGTGGCTTTATTTGTTGAATGTTGATAATCAGCTGATGATAGTGCATATTTCTAGATTGCAGGAGTCATCGTAAAGAAGAAACGTAGTTGCTCAAATATTAAAATATATCACCCTCATCATTGTGTATTTTATAACCCCAGTGGTCATTTTCAAGCAGTCGTTAAAAAGACAGTTAAAAGTATGAAGCAAATTCGAAGAAGCCGAAGAGAAACAAGACATTAGTTCCATGTCCCAGTTAGTACGAAAGAATTAATGTGAATGTAGCTTTAAAGTCATTAGGTAAACGCCGGATTCATACAATGGTTGTTAATGGTCAAAGACTGAGTGGAGTATGGTGAATGGTCAAAGACTGAGTGGAGTAGTTAAAGGATGACCAAAGTAATGGCCACTTGGGTAAGCGCTACCTTATGCCAATCACATGTCATAATTGCTTTTTCCATCTTTTTGAATATCATTTGGGTTAAATGGATCGGTTTTAAGCTCGATCCCATTTGAAATCTTAAACAAAAAATTCCAAAGTTTTAGAAGATTCGAATTTAAGCAACTGCGTTAATATTAATAATAAACAATCAAACAAGACAAATATATTTCACCCATTCAGGCAAAACTCAACTACACGCATATATTTACATATAGTGATATCTTTGTTGACTTCTAAATTGTTCCATAACATTTCCAAGAATCAGCATAAAATTGAAGCCTGGATGTAGGAAGGAAGCATACTTCCTGGGTCCCCCACCCTTAAAAGAGAGACCAATATCCAGTTTTACACTGCATCAATGCTACATCTTCGATTGCATTTGATATTCAACCGATATTCCATTGTTAGTGCCTAGAGTCATCAACGTCTCTTACAACACATCACTGTGCCTTTGCAAGGGCTCGACTGGATGGACCACGCAACAATTTGACGAAACCGAGGAAACTTAGCTTCCCATCCATATGCCTTATCCAATCGTTAAGAACAGCATGAACTGGAATAGAGGTCCAAGTTCCTGAATAGTTTTCAAGTACAGAATTGACATTTAGATTACGAACTGCAGATCACAAATTATTATTTAGTATCTAAAAGAATTCCAAACTTACAGAAGCGAGTTCCTCAATTACGATAGCCCTGTTTCCATCTTTCTCAAAAAGCTCGTATGCACATCGGGCATGTTGTTCCCAACGATCAAGCGCCTCGAGCTGATGAACACTTAATGCAGCTGCACAGAATTCTTCAAAACCCATTCTTCTGTATTGAAGTGCATTAAGCTGTCGTGCAATGGAAATTAAATGAACGGTACTTTAATGAGCTACTTCTAGATGACCATATAATCAAGAAATGACTACATAAAGGAAAGAAGAACTGTGTCCATACTGAAAAAAGAAAATCCGGAATGTGAGAATCCTTCATTGCATCTGTTGCAGTTTTCATCAGGGCCTGTTTGCAGGAAAACAAATAATTAAAACAAGTCTATTCTCTAACGATATTTCCACGACGATGGAAGGAAATTCACCGTCTTAATGTTCTCCAAGGTTATGCTACCATTGTTGGGCTCAAATAATGCGAATTGCACTCTCATGTAAAAGAGTTCATCAGCTGTCAATGTCTTAGACAATGCCTGCAGGAATGAATTAATAAGAAAAATGATGCATTATCTAGTTTCCGTTACAAATTACCAACAGAATGAAGTAAAATTGAGCAAAGGAAAATCAAAGTTGAACGGTGCAAGCATAGTTGTCTAGAGACCAGGTACTACACAGAGGCACAGGTAAAGTACAAGAGAATTTCAACCCATTAGCATACACACCTTTATGGCAGCCTTCCGCAAAGTTGAAGATCGCATATATGCATTCATAAGCCTAAAAACTAAAATATCGAGAGGGACCTTAACATCATTATGATTCTGGATCCAAGGATGACCTGTTAACAAAATACCAAGGCTGTTACTCTAGCCGAAGGATGTGGCAACCTAATATTATGAGTTAAAATCATGCACGCACATAGGGCCTGAGCTGCTGTCATTCTTTTCCTGGGGTCCTTATTCAAAAGGCGCTTAACAAAGTCCTTAGCTTCTGAAGACAAGGAAGGCCAAGGTTCTTCAATAAAGTTCGGATCTGCTTTTAGGACCGCTCGAAAAATTCCTGACTCAGTCCTAGCCCAAAACGGACGGCTACCACATAAAAGAATATATGCTATCACACCTATACTCCAAACATCAGCTTCTGTACTATAAGATCTATGAAGAACTTCAGGGGCCACGTAGTATGCACTTCCCACAATGTCATTCAGTCTTTCATCTGGAAAAACCATAAGCATTAGAGATTTAAAAGAATCCCCAAAGTTGAACAGCAGGAAGCAGAGCAAGAGGAGTAAAAACCTGGTCTGACAAAATCCGATAATCCAAAGTCTATGGCCTTAAGCATAGAGTTCACCTCTTTTGAAGTATACAAAAAGTTCTGGTCCAGAAAAAATACTAAGTTTAGATCCTTCAACAGTAAAAAAAAAGTACAAAATATCATAAGTTGTTAACAGACTCGGTAATCAATCATGATGATACGGCATGAGATACGTACTAACGACTTTAAGCCGACAATAGCATATGGTTTACCAATTCAAGACATTCCCTCAAAGCCTTTCAGTTCAGTTTAGGAAATCGTCAAACATAACTCCAGTTAAGTATCTATGTATAATTTGTGTTTAGATTAAACTATTCGAGGATATCTACATAGTCGTGCTTTTTTTTCCTTTTAACTATTTAGTAAGGGAAAAAAGAGAATTTGCTCCACCTCTGGCTTAAGATCTCGATGCACCACGCCCTGAAGATGGCAAAAAGCAACAAAATTTAGAATCTGTACCATTACAGTCTTTGCATCATCTTCCGAGTACTTTCCGCCCCTACAAGCATAATGGACCTCTAAGTTTGAAGTACAATAAACAAATTCTCAAAATTCAAACTATCTATTAAAAGAATAATCACCTTGCAAGAATTCTATCCAAAAGCTCACCTCCTTCACAAAACCTGTAATTTCAATTATGATACTCAAAACATTAATTAAAATAAGACATTATGAATGAAAGTGCAAGCTTCAAGCTTACTCCATTGCTATATAGATGTTATCATGATCTTCAAATGCATCATAGAATTTCACTAGATTGTTATGTCCTGTCAAGGCTCGCAATATCTTCACCTCCCTTCGTACATCCTCAACTGCAATAGCCGTTGTCATCTGACAACAGACATAGTCATAAGAAAAACACAAAGACACACCAAGGAGAAAAGCAACCTCAATAACGGATCATCGTATATTAGGTATGAATCAAAGCATAAGAATGAAATAACAGTACAATATTTCTCTATGTCTTGTATAAGGTTCAAAGCGATGCTTCAAGGTCGATTGATCACATGAAAATTACGGTCCAATCATGTATCAAATACAGACAATGGTGTGCAATCTAACCACAACTATTAGTTTTTTTGGCTTGGTTCCAAGTATAAGCCGGGAAAAGACAATAAGATACTAGTTGACTGATTCCAGCTGACTCGATGCAAGTCACGGGCCATTTCAAAGTTAAGATCCCAAATTGAAACCATTGGATACTGGTGCTTTAGCAGTAGTCAATTCTAAGTGTAGAAAAATATGATATGTCAACAGGTTTACTAGAGAAATTCAACAGTATCAAATTGCAAAATAGTCCACTTCCAATAGCACCCAGCCATACAACTCAATGATGCAAAGATTCAATTTTGGGGCCCAGATATGGTTTAGACCTGAAATATTCAAGTCATGTGGTAAGCTTAATATATCAAATAATCCAGAGCTTAGACCTAAAAGCACGTCCAAATCAGACATGGTAAGCTTAATACATCAGATAATCTGGATTTTGTTAGTTGGATGGTAGCAATAAATTATCAAATTCCAACCATTAACAAACTAAAAATTAATAAGCAAAACAAGTTGGCAACTTTTGTGTTGTTTTACACTAAAGAAATTAATGTAAAAGAATTGAATCTAACCCCACATTTTGTCCATCTAGAAGGATTCTGAAACAGTAAAGTCCCCATGTTTTCTTCTTTCCTTCAATTTCTTTCACGTCCTATTAAAAGTCTTCTTCCCACTTACCTTGAATGGGTACAAAAATACAAGACTAGAACAGTTTTGTGCTTAAGAAACATCAAAACAGAAAGCCAATTTAAATGGGGGAAAAAACAAAGTATCAACATTTACAAGAACATATATTCAAATTTTAAAAAACATAAAGAACCAACCTTGGATTTGGGAATAACTTTAACAGCAACCTGCTGGCCTTTGAATTCTCCTTTCTTGAACTTAGCAGAACAAGTATACCCAAAATGCCCTCTGCCAACTTCCTCTCCTATTTCCAACTTACTTCTCAATTCCTTCGAAAACCCAAATCTTTTATCCAACTCAACTCCTCCCTCTTCCTCCTCTTCCTCATCTCCTTCCACAATTTTGGCCTCATTTTGCGTTTCCTTGTTCGGCTTCCGCCGCCTCAGCACAGCCCGGATGTGCTTGGCCGGAGATGGAGGAGGAAAAGGCCGCCGGAAAAAGTGGAGAGGAGTTGAAGGAGTCTTGGGTTTCCATCGATGAGCGGGGCTTGGGGTGTACAAAGGGAGGAAAGGCGTGGTCGGAGGGAGAGAAAGAGGAGGTGGGGATTTGGGTAATTGGGTAGGGGCAGGATTATCATTCTTCTGGTCCTCTCTCGGGGAAAATGGGTTTGATTTTGAAGGCTTCGAAGTGCAGGCTCCCATTGTCGAAAAGGAAGAAGATCAACAAATCAATAAGAAACTTTGCATTTGAGAGATCTTTCTGAGGTTTCAGCTAACTCTGTAAGAATCAAAGAAAAAAAAACAAATAAAGATAGGAAAGAAAAGGACAGAAAATGCGGATTTTGCTGTCGTTTGCTGCTGTGAGAAGAACAGGAAGAGGAAGGAAAACAAGTGAAAGTGACAAAAGATGTTAGCTTTAGAAGCTTTGCAAGCGACGTGAGCTGGACGACTGTGTTCCTTGAGCAGTGTGGGAGAGATTTGGGAAATTGATTGGCTGGCAATGCCCCCAAAGTTCATTGACCTTGATCAATATATATATATATATATATATATATATATATATGAGAAAATAATCTCAGTAACTAAAAATATCTTATAATATACGATTTTAATCAATTTTTTTGGATTTGCCAAAATGACCAACTAAATCGTAATGCGATCGATAATTCGCAACGCGATCTCCGGTATCGCAAATCAGTTTCCAAATTCGCAACGCGATTCTGACTATCGCATTGCGATTTTCTAAATTCGCATTGCGATTTTTTAAATTCGCATTGCGATTTCTCAAATTCGCGTTGCGATTTACGTAATCGCATTGCGATTTTCCTAATTCGCATTGCGATTTACGTAACCGCATTGCGATTTTACTAATTCACATTGCAATTTTACTAATTCGCAATGCGATTTACGTAATCGCATTGAGATTTTCCTAATTCGCACTTCGATTTACGTAATCGCATTGCGATTTAATAAATCGCAACGAGATTCTGACTATCGCAATACTGAATTTCAAATTCGCAACTCGATTTCTGAATTCGCAACAGGTTTTAATTTCGCAACACAAATGTTTTGGGTATATAAATACGCAGCAACAACAACTCATAACCTAAATCCCTAAATCGCAACTCATTCCATCTCCATCTATCACTCTCTCCGGCGACATTCGTTCCTATATCCAACGACATCCTTCCCCATCCGGCAACATGTTTTAGTTTCGCAGCTCGTTTGTTTAGTAAATTAATTTACAATAATGAAATCATCTAATGTTGATCGTGTTTGGATAGATTTGTATTTTAGAGGGTCATGGGAGAATGTTCATGGTGTTTTACAATATATGCCTTTACCCATGAAACTTCAACTAAAACTGTCATTAAAAAAGTTAACTTATGAAACTCTAATGTTACGTGTTACAAATAAATTGAATTTAGAGCCCCTAAGTGGATTTAGGTTATCTTATCAGAAAAATGGTAAAGTTTATTTATTAACCGACAATGAAGATGTTGAACGATTCATTGCTTACATTAGTGTTTCAAGTGATGATGTTACATTGTATGTTGTTGAACCTAGAAGTAGTGAAGTTGGGTCAGTAGAGGGTAGTAATCAGCTAAGTTTTTCAACCCCAGTTTATGATGCTCAAAATTTAATGGTTCCACCACAATTTCATCACCAAGCAAATATTGTTTCACCACATTTCCAATACCAAACACAATCTCAAAACCCACAACCTTTCCCTAATCCAAATCCCAATCAACTTTCAGCACCAAATTCCGGTTTTCGTATTGACCAGTTAGACGATGATGAGCCAACAAAAAAATTGTGAGTACTAGTCAGTATTTGAAATTTGATCTTGGTCAATACCCGAACTTTGATCTTGGTCAATACTCAGATTTTGATGATTTTTCAGAAGAATAAATAGACCCTGCGTGTAATGATTTTGATATTGGTCAATACCCGAATTTTGATGATGAAACAGCCGTTGCCGAGGAAGATGTTGTTGATGATAATGAGGAGGAAGTTACGACTGTAAATGAACATGTTGAACATCCATTCTGTAATTCATATAACACTGAAGAAGAAGAAGAAGAAGAAATCCCCAAAGAAAAGTCTCCGAAGAAAATGCCACGGGAGTATAACTGGGATATGCCAGAATTACTTCAGATACTGGAAGAAGAGTTGGTAAAGATAGCAGTTGATTGTCACACAAAAATTATTCGTATCAAGAAAGATGATTGCTTTGATACAAAGGAAGACTTGAAGATAGCTTTATATACGAAATGTGTGGAAGATAGCTATCAACTAAAAGTTAACAAATAAAGCAAAGATCGTTTCGAAACAAAGTGTATGATTGACAAAAATTGTATGTGGCGTATGATTGCAAATAGGATAAAAGATTGCGAAATGTTTCAAGTTAGGACTTTTATTGATAAACATACATGTTCAAGAACCCAAGTTTTTCCTCACCATAGACAGGCAAACAAAAAGGTGTTGGGTGGTTTTCTGGCTGAGTTAATATTTTTGAATGATAGGGTATATCGGGGACATGAAATTATGACTGACATGAATGCTCGGTTCAAGATTAGTATCTCATATTCTCAAGCTTGGAGAGCCAAATGTTATGCATTGGAATTGTTGAGGGGGTCGCCAGAAGCATCGTTTGCCCAACTGCTGGCTTATTGTCATAATTTAAAGCTGAAAAATCCTGGGTCGGTAACTCATATCAAAACAGATAGAGATGGACGCTTTGAGTTGCTGTTTATCGCCATTGGTGTTGCGGTTAGTAAATCAATATAATTTTGTTGACTCATTTTTGTTAGTTACATGCATTTCACATTTAAATGATTATATTTCTTGTGTATATGATTTTGTAGATTCGTTCGTTTATTAATTGCATGCGCCCAGTTATTATAGTTGATGGAGCACATTTAAAAGGTCGATACCTTGGAGTAAACTTATTAGCAGTAGCCATGGATGCTAACAATGGGATACTGCCAATAGCTTACGGGGTTGGAAAATCTGAAACCTCTGATTCATGGACATGATTTACGGGGCATCTTAGGGATTGCATAGGTCCTATTAGCAATCTGACAATCATATCCGATAGGGCAAACTCAATTGACAACGCTGTTAGAAGGTGTTTCCCAGATGCTTTTCATGGATTTTGTGGTGTTTATTTGTATAGAAATCTAAAATCAAGGTCTGCTGGTATAAAAAATCACAAATGGACATACTGGAAGGCTGTAAAAGCTTATCGGGAAGTGGATTTTAATAAGCATATAAACTGTTTAAGACGTGTTTTGCCTCAGTGTGCTCAAACACTAGAAGATGTTGGGTTTGAAAGATGGTCAAGAGTACATCAACTTGGAGCAAGATATGGTTTCATGACGTCTAATAGTGCAGAATCAATCAACGCTCTAAGTCGTCATTCCCGGAAATTACCCATTACTATGTTAATGGAGTTTTTTCGAGCCTCTATTCAACAGTGGTACTACAAGAAAAGAAACCATGCAGGTATTATTTCTTTAAATTCGTAACGTATCATATATTTTACTAAGTATTATTTATTTAAATTTACAGGAACATTGGAACATCGTGTTACACCATGGACAGAAAAAAAGATAACGAAACGTGTTGTGAAGTCAACGTGATGGAGAGTTGAACCATGTTCAAACACTTTGTTTGAAGTACTGGATAATAACTTAAATGGGCTTGTCGATCTAAATGCAAAGACGTGTAGTTGTATGAAATGACAAACATCTGGTTATCCATGTGGCCATGTTATAAAAGTTTCTCTTCATCTAAATCAAGATGATTCAAGCGCATACGCTATGGATTGCTACACTACAGAAGTATATCGATAGACTTATGGCGAGATTGTCTACCCTATCCCACATCCTTCTGAGTGGAACATACCAGATGACTTACAAACAGTTTTGCCATCAGCCATGGACAGAAGGCTACCTGGCCGACCAAAAAGTCACGATCGTATACCGTCTAAGGGTGAAGAGAAGAAGAGATCGACATGTAGTCGGTGCAAGGAAAGTGGTCATACAAGGTTGACATGTGGATCATCAGTGCCATCACAATCATCTTTTCCTCTACCAAAATATGGATCCTCATCAAAATCCAAAGTTCATATGGTATCAAGTAAAAGGCAATCAAAATCGCAATTATCTTTAAAATCCCAATCACAACCGGCTTCACCTTTTGGGACTGTTAACTTAGGTGATTTTTAAATGCAAACGTTGTATTATGTGGATTTTATGTGTGAACTTTTAACATTTTCAGTTAGGCATGTATTAGTAACTTGAGTTTGAAAATTGCTATGATCTGTTCAGTTGTTATCACTTATGAGGCATTCATTTGACTATCGCAACACGGAAATGACGTTCGCAATCATCTTAATGTCTATCGCAACGCGGAAATGACTATCGCAATGCGAAATGAAAATCGCAACGAGAGAATCGCAATGCGAAATGAAAATCGCAACGAGGGAATCGCAACGCGAATTTAGTTTCGCGTTGTGATTTTGTCGTTTCGATTTTCATTTCGCGTTGCGATTCTCTCGTTGCGATTTTCATTTCGCATTGCGATAGTCATTTTTGCCTTCAACATAATGCAGATTGAAATCAACAAAATCAACCATTACATTTCATCAATTAAACAAGCACAAATAAGAATTATGTTCACATCAATTAAACAAATCAACTTTTACAAATCATCTTTTACAAATCAATTAAACAATCAAAAAATAAGCAATAATTCTTATTTCCTCATCTACTATTGAATCAACTTTTGCAGTCATACATCATTTTCACACAGCTCACTTTTGAGATTAACCTGCAGAAACCAAACATTTTCTCAAACAACACTTTCTACACATCTAAAACCTACAAACATCAAATTATTGAATTCTAGGTACTTAACCAAACATTTTCAAACCACAAGCCTATAAACTTACCAATTGTTTATGGATATTTTTATAACGCGGATGCAGGTAGGCAGCGTCTCGTATATATCGATCTAGCCATATAATGCCGAAACCATAAGCCTACTGCAGCTCTATCTCTATCGGTGGGAGGTAGATACTTTATACTTCCTGTGATCAAACGCTCCAACGCCAAGCATACGAGAGGACCACAATCCCCTCTGGGTCATTTCATTTGTTGTGGTGCGGTCTCGTCTCTGCTAACTGTAATATTGAGCGTCTTTGGCTTCTTGTTTCTAGAACGAGTCCAATAATTTATCGCATCCAAGAATTTAGCCAAATGAGAGCTCCATCCCTTAATAATATCTCTTAAATCAGCCAATGATATGT